CTAACTAAATACTCAAGTCGCTTACGCAAAGTGAAGAAGCTCAAAACAAACACAACAACCTAAAACTATAATTATATATATATATATATATATATATATATATATATATATATATATATATATACAAATATCAAAAATGCACAATGTGCCAGCAATTCCAAGTCCTTCATTTGTATTCTTCAACTTGAGATCGTTTGATTTAGGATTGTACATCTCAATTTGAGATTAAAATGCTTGAAATGTTTATCGTTTTAACCGAATTTTATTTCTGAACTCATTGTGCAAGAGTCTGTAACAGGCTATGCATCGTTGAGCCCATGAAAAAATGTATATTCTTCATCAGCTTGAACAGCCAAGTCGATCTAGCCATGTCTGTTTGTCCCTCCGTCTACATGAACACGTCAATCTACCAGACGAAAAGAACTGGAGACTTCCAATTGGAAATATAGGCAAGAATAAAAGTATTTATTAGTCGAGCTCTCTCGACTGGAACATTCTTAATTGTCTTATAATGAATTTTAATTGTGATGTGTGCATATCATTTAGATAACAACGAATAGAGTCGAGAATCTACTCAAGATATATTTTTGCGAAACAATTCAGTGTTGATCTAAAATGCATCTTTAATCGTTAGCAAGAATCTTTATTAACGGCCAGATGAAGATGGCCCTTAGACAAAAGAAAGTCAAAAACCTCAAAAGGCTAAAACGAAACTTTGATAAATATGCATTTTTTCACTTTGCAGCCAATAAAATTAAATGAAATTGGACTTATGTATTTTATCTGTATTACATTATTAAGCAATAAAATATATATTGTTGTTAATCCTGTTAAACAAATAAATGGGTCAACATGTTTAGTTGATGAGTGAAATGAAATTTCCGAATTAGTCATCCAAGTTATTTAAATGTGTGTCTTCTTTTTGTCTGACTTCTCAATGTTCAATACGAGTAATGTTAAGTATACGCCACGTTGTCCCAAAATCACAAATTACATTGCATTCAAATGCAAATCGAGAAATTCGGTGGCAACAACCACAACAAGCACATAAGCCATTATAAGCCGATCACGTTTTTGTTTTTTTTTTATATTCTTGTTGTTGTTGTGGGTCAAAACGCGTTAACCGTTAACCGGTTCATTTGGTCAAGGCACAGGAGTCGCCGTCGTCGCTGTTGCAGTCAGTGGCATGGCCTTATCAGTCAAGATTCTCGCCTAATGAAACTGGTATTGACAGCAAATAAATATTTACGTTTGTCATCTGAGCGCATGCTATTATATCTGTATCTATTTGTATGCAGAAGTAAGCAGAAGCAGCAGCAGAAGCAGCAGCAGCAGGGGCAACTGACTCGTATCTACGGTCATTCATTTAGCCAAGCAAATATTATCTTTGTAAATTGCAACTGCAATTGTAATTAATGAGTCTGGCTGAGTCTAGCTGCTGTTTCATTTGCTGTGCATCTCTTATCATCAAATGCGAGTACACACAAAAAGCGCAACGAACAAAATGAGTATATGAAAATCACGCGCTCCCACAGCTGAGACGTGCAATTTGTTGCCACGCCCTGCTGCCAGACCACATGGCCAATATATGTGTGTGTCTACAATAAGAACAACAGCAACAACAACATCATCATCATCAACAACAAATGCTCATCATCGTCAGCGTCATCGTCAGCGTCAGCGTCAGCGGGTTTTTGTCTTGCTCTGACTCAAGGTCAAAGCTGCAATAGCTGAAAGCGTAGGAAAATGAAGAGCGGCTCGCGTTGAAAATTCCAATTGCAATTGCTGCAGCTGACTTTACACACAGTTTTCCGCCACAAAAACAGCCTGTTGCCGGCTGCCACTCAACTGTGGCCAAAAACCAATCACCACAATTGACCATTAATAGCATTGCATCCGACTAGAGGCGGCTCTCGAGTAGCCACAAGTTGCAGTCAATGCCATGTGCCCTTCAAAACCAAAGATGGAAAGTTTAGCATTATATTTTCACTTGAGTATCTGTGTTAGAAACAGTCAGTGAATCTCTAAAAAAGAATAGTTATCTCAAATAGTAATAATTTAAGTGAAAAGTATGAATTCGACTGGATTCAATCTTCGATAATATATTTCTGGCTTGGTTTTTAATAATCAGTTTTCAAACAAATTTAATGATACAAACCATATTTAAATTATTCTTTAATTTCATATAGATAAAAAGAGCAGACTTAACTTAGACTTGGTTAGGTACTTGATTGATATATAAGATTTATTTACTTGAAAAAGTCACTTTTCCATCTATTGCTGGTTGCCACAAAAAAGGGAAAGCCTCTAAAAAATGTGTGCACATTATTGGCAAGCCGACTCGAATGTGGTTTTGCAGTGATCTTCGTGACATGTTCAGATCGTGAGGCGTTGTACAAAGGTGTAATATGATCTCGTTGGTGTCTGTTGAGGTTGGGGTGCGCCCAATTAAGAGCACACAACAACAACAACAACAAACAGAATCAGAATTCAGTGTCTGTGTCTGTGTCTGGGAATTAAAAAATTGTGAATCTTGTGGGCTGTGCGAACCGGTTAGCCCAATACAGTGACACAGACAGAGACAGAGACAGAGACAAAGGCAATGAAAATGGCAAAGACAAAAGCGGAACGGGCCAAAATGAAACATTTACATTACGAACTTGCCAATTACAACAATGTGAGAGTGTGTGTGTCTGTGTGTGTGTGTGTGTGTGTCACACACATTATGGAGTGAGTTATTGTTATTGTTATTATTGTTGTTGTCAGTGGAGTCTCGTGTTGCCATTTGGCGTTGACAAATTTTATTTATTCTGTGCTTCAGTTTGCCGTTTGCCGTTTGCTGCTCTTACATTATTTTCCGCTTTCTTATGCACTTTTCCAGTTATGCTTTAACATTTGGCCGGTGAGGTTCGCTGCGCGGTGGTTTGAGCCTGCAAAATCAAAAGTCGCTTCAGTTTTAATTAGTAATAATTCGCAAGCAACTCGGCTGTTGTTGTCTCCAAAGTCCCCAAAGTGTTAATTGGCAGGTGTCGTGCTGTCTGCCGCCTTGCTGCTTGACAACCAATAGCTTACTCTCCAATCTCCAATTTCTTAATCTGTGTATTCAAGTAATAAAGAAACAAGAAACAAGTCACTTTGATCTGGTCAAACGACTAGACCCAAATACATATCTACATAATAGGCTTGCTGAAATTAGTTTGTTCCATTTGGAAATATGTTTGGCTTAACAAAATCTGTGTTTCGCACACGATGAAACAGTTGATCAATAATATATCAGAAGACTTCCATATTTCCATATCAATTTTGAAAATTGTATATTTTATTGCTATCGGAAATTGATTTGAATTTAGATTTGCGAAACGTGAGCAGCTATCGATAAAATGAACAAAGCTTGATCTGCGTGTGATATTCGAGAAATTATATAGTTGAGAACGGCTAGACAGATATGGACTTGTTTGATGTTAATGATGGTCAATAATACATATACACTCTTTGTGCTCGCAATTGCCTCCTTTTTTCCATTTGTAATGAGCTCAGGCAATAGACATATAATTAACTGAATGTGGCAATAAAAATAAAACCCCTCCGATGCTTTCAACACCCACGCCATTGTCTATGCCGCTAACCAGCTGCCCCTCCTCAAGTGCATGCGAAAATCTCGTGATGCACAGCTGCAAATCGGCCAGCGCAAATGCTAAATGCATGTAACCACCCTCCCCCACTCTCCCAATCGATGTGTGCCTCGCCAACCTGTTCGCTGTGGCGCCAGAAAGCAACCCAGCCGTGCATCTGCCGGTGCTTTGCATATTAAGTATACGCCGCTTTGAACATCAGCAGGTGTTTGATGTTATTTTTATGATAAAATAAAAAATACTTTTTTACTATTTGCATTTATGTTCATTTTCTAAATATATTTTAGTGTAGTTTTTACGTCTATTTGTTTCTTTAAGTGAGTTAATTCAATTAGAACCGACTCAAAAACTCAAAACTTTGTATAATTTTATCGATTGGAAATGCGTTCTTGAACTTGACCACATGCTATAGGAGAATTTTTGTAAATGTTTCGATTAACATACTTTCGATAATATGGTATATCGACTCCATAAAGTATATATATTCTTGATCAGGTTTAACAGTCGATCTCTGTCTGCCCGTCTGTATGAATACGTAAGCCCCGCGCAGATTAAGTTTATTTCATTTTGTCGATAACTGCCTCGGTTTCGCGAATATCGATAGAAATCGATTTCCGTTAGCAATAAAATAGACAAATGTAAAGATTTTGACTGCAAATGAATATTACACATCATTAATCAATTTAATAACAGCTGTGTTCAGGCAGTCGAACTTGTTTTTGTCTTGTGGATTTCTTGACAATAAAACAGTAATTCGTAGAATTCGATGACGGATTAAATTAAATTAGCTTATAAGCTTATACGTTTTGCAATTTATGACATACAACATTTAGCTGGAATGATTCGTTTAGATTCCATCGGGAAAAAACCGTATGCAAATGTTATTGGGAGTCCGAACAAAAACATATAAAAAAAAACTGATCACAGAACTTCAAGTGAATTTTAATTTAATCGATTGCAGTCTTTCAATGAATTTCCATTTCAAGCGAAGGTCACTCAAATTTTCCAATCGTCACTCAACTCCTACACATGATCTTCAAGCTGAGACTTAAATTAATAAGTTGATCAATTGTGGTTGCTTTCTACATTAGCTCAATTGCCACTCAACTTATGATTTGATTCATATTTATTATATTTAACTCTTAACTCCCTTTTAATTCAGTTCCTATCTGAAAATTGCAACTTGTGTTTGCACATTTGCCATAGAAAACAAGGTTAAACAATTAATTGTCACGTAGAAACTCAATCAGGGAAAAACGACAACAGAAATTAAGAAAACACCAAAGACTCGGATAGTTTTCACATTGAAATCATTGAACAATATGCATATAAAGCAATCATAAAATATTAAATTGATATCAATAAAAGGCGAGCGTTCGAGGAGTCCAAAACCAATCAGAAATCGAAGCAAAATGCGAGCTGTTTACGGCTTATTGCTAAGCAATGGATTTGATCACAGGTATGCACATGAGATACATTTACACCACTCAAGATACAAATGTAGCTACAAGCTACAGCAGTAGCCACACTCCAACGACTCCAGTCTGGCTGCAATTCAATATTTACCACTCTGCCAGCAATTAGAGTTACTAAAATTGATTAAGACATTTCTTAATATATTCTTAATATATTCAAATGAATGTCAACATATAAATGCAAAAATGGTATGAATGACTTTTCTACCCACTTAATGATTTTCATGAAATCAAATGAGCAATATCATTACACTTAAAAAAAAATATACATAATATAAAGATAATATTGTGAAACAGTAGAACGGATATTTCCCGAAGAATTTATTAAGAACTTTGACAATCAAAGTCAACCGGATATCAACTACATACAGGTGCTTCCAAAGGATGCTAGAAATACAGAAAACTGATTTTGAATGTGAATCATATCTATATGAAAGAAATGAGTTTTAAACAAATTATTAATATATAAAATGTTCAGCTAGGGAGTCTGCACAGGTCGCGATTATTTAACCAACACAACTTTTGCTCATAATAAATGTATTTCGATTTTAGAGATATCTATAATTATTCTATATATTCTCTCTCTCTCTCTCTCTCTCGCTCTCTCTCGCGCAGCATGGTGCTCCAGAATCACAATACCGTTGTGGCCCGCTCCACATTGACGCCGAACAGCAGCAGCCAGAACTTTGGCACACATTCGAATCCCGGCGGACAGTCGCCGTTGGGTGCCGGACGTGTGCCGCTTCGTGCTGCGCCGGGCAATCAGCGTCCCATAATCGATTTACTGGTGGCAATGGTCGCGGTGCCGGTACTAATCATGTGCGCCCTGCAGCTCGAGAAGAATCTGCACCACATGCAGGAGAGCCCCGACTCACGCTGGTTGGTCTTTGCCCTCGGCATTATGATGCTGGTGATCAGCGTCATCATCTGTGGCTATGTCACACATCGCATGGGCGTCTGCATTTGGGCCGGGCCCATCGATGACGCCGGCAATCGTGTCAGCAGTAGTACACTGCATCACGTAAGTACACATACACCAACAACATATATATGTATATATATATAGAATCGTATATAATAATATGAGATGGCCACGTTCGCAGATCAATTCGCAGAATGATGTGCTACGCATTGTGGACACAATGCCGCCGAGCTACGACAGTGTTGTTAAATGTGATCTACCCCCGCCGCCCTACTCCGACTGCATTGTGATCGATGTGGATCAGCGCAAGGATATGCAGCCGCAGACATCCGCCAAGGATCGGCTCATCCCTCCAGCGGCATCCGGTTCCGTTTCCCTGCCAGGCGTAACGCTGCACATCTGAATATATATATATATATATATATATATATACAAACAGTGGCGCTACCATCAAATTGAGAAGAGGAGAGAGAAAAAAAGAGATTTTTCGCTTGCCGCATTAAATTTGACTAGAAAATGGAATTTGTACTTCACCAAATTAACGGTGGCTTTTGGCTATTAACTAATCAGTTGGCGTCGTATTTACTTCGATTTAAGATCTTAGAGTATTCTTAACTATAGCGCATTCTCTTTACAACTACAAATGTAAATCTGCTTTTTTTTTTAACGTCTTTTTGTTTTTTTTTTGTTTTTTTGTTAATTGGTCTATGCAGCATTGTAAATATTCTTAAACAGCATCTAGTCCAAAGTTGTACATAATCTACGAAAAAAAACAAAAACAAAAAATAGACCAATATTTAGGAAAATGCGCATTATACGTTTGGTATTTACTAGTTATTTAAATATGCCAATATTGCAATGACCAAAGGGGGTTCAACCACGGGTAGCTGACTGGCTGGCTGGCTGGCTGACTGGTTGGCTGGGGGGAGGGGGGAGGGGATTGCATAGCAGTTAGCAATTATGGATTACCACATAGTCTATAGTCGTGTATTTATATACTTACACACATATACACCTATACAATACATACATATTTGTACATAAACGTATGCATTACTCATCGATATCAATTACGATTAGCTGCTTTCCAAAATAAAGAATTCCTATTAATATTAACCACAAGCCTCTCAATCACTCTCAGTGAAATCATTTAGAGCAAGAAAGGGTTGATCTATACATATGTGATATATGTAACATATTGGATACATATGTGCACAGTCTGTCTTCGAAACTGAGGGAGAAGTTCCCAAAGAGACAGACGAACATCGCCTAGTAATGCTGATCAAGAATATATATATATATATACATAGTTTATGGACTAGTCGACGTCAACTTCTAATTAGAAAGTAGCTTAAGAGATGTCTGCTGACTGCATTTGGAAGAGGCTTCCAATCCCGGGTACGTATTACTAATAAACTGTTGCAATATTTTACAAGCTGAATGCAATTGTGCCTGGCGATGATAGTAGTTGTAGCATTATATGTATTGTAACAAATTCAAATAGCAAACATTCAAATCCTGTATCAGAAAATATGAATTTTATTTATGTTAACATGTTAAGTTTTATAAGTACTTGAAAATGTGTGTGTGTTTTCAAGAGTACAAACCCAGCTCTGTGAAAAGCTCAACCATTTTCCAAGCTTGACAAACATTTTCACATTTGGATTTGTCAATTTCGAGTAATGCTCCAATGATCCAAGACTTGTCTGTCGATCAAATTTCAACTAACCTTAGCTAATCCAATCCATTGTTTTTTGTTCTTTTTTGATGTAAACAATGTAAATTGTCGGCAATTATATTCGATATCATCAAAAAATGTAGCAAATGTTGCATTTATTTGTTGTCGGTTGTTTTTACTCACAATCGAATATATGAAATTTCTTCATTCTCTTCATATTTTCTTTTTGTTTTTTAATTTCAAATACAATAATTAACGTTTTTGTTTGTTGTACAATACATAAAAAGAATTGTGTCTGTGGGTGTGTAGTGCATGTGTGTGTATGCGCATACATTATATATATATAAATATATATATATATATATACATTATATATATATACATTATATTTGTATAGGTGTAAGTATATTGGTAAAGTGAAGATGACTCGACTATTTTAGTATGTCTGACGCTGCTGTTACTTTTTCTACATGTTGTTGATGTTCTTGTTGCTATTAGAATTGCTTCTTGTCACCCATTCTGATGCCTTGGCCAATTTATTGAATGCTTGAACCGATATACATATATGTTCCCGATTAGTTGCGTGTGGGTGGCATGTGGCATGCAATATATAAGTGGGGTAAGGAAGAAAGGGGGCATTGTTTATGGAAAGGCAACTATTGCTCACACACGATTCACAAATGTATATGCATATATATATACATATATTAATATATACATTTATAAAATTGGAAATTTAGTAAGCGCCTCATACATATGTGTATGGGCGCATATATATATATATATATATATATATATATATGATACAAACTAAATATCAGGGACAACATTTGCATTTCACAACACGCCGCCGCCTTTATCATAATTGTTATCAGATTGCTCCAAGCAGAGTAGATTGCAGTTTACAGATTACATTTTCATCGATTACAAATGAGACAGTTTTTATATACAGTATAATCTAAGAATCCGTTGGCGCCAAAAACAAAGAAACAAACAAACGATCGCAATTAACAACAACCAAAGTGGCAACATTGCTTTGATTTCTGTTTCTTAAGCGGGTCTCGACAAACTCGAATGGTCTTCTTCTACTGCTCAGGGACGGTGGATCTGTTGTTTTTTTCTTCATATATATATATATATATAGCTAATGCCTGATGTCTGTGCTGCAATTGTTTTAATTCCATCGTATTAAATATAACAACTAGGGGAGCAACAACCGATCGGTCTGCTAATCAAATTTATCTACAACTTTCGTTTAATATTACAAAGAAAAACAAAAAAAATTGGGAAAAAAACGTGTTTAAATAAAATAGAAGAAAAAAATCGATAAACGTTGTACGCAAATATATATATATACATATATATATATATATACATATATATATATATATATATATATATATTATATGTTTATGTATATTTATTGTATATACATAAATATATAAGAGAACAACAGGCAAACAAGCAACACAGGGTCTGGGTGCTGGTAGGGCGATAAAGTGCTTGTTTTTGCTTTTTCAGTATTCAAGTATATAAGTATTCGTGTGTGTGTGTGTGTGTGTGTGTGTCAATCTGTATTATTTGAATTATTGGGATGAGGGGGGAGTGGGTAGTGGGTAGTGAGTAGTGGATAGTGGATAGGTAAGTAGGTAAGTTAGGGGATCGGATAAGTGTTGTGGTGGTTGAGGCGCACACAGCACAAGTTGTTGTAAAATGCTTAAACGTATTATAATATGCTCTCCTAATTTTAGTATGTAATAATCACATTGACTGTAACTGCAATTGTCATCATCGAACTATGCTGCATTTTATGTATAATATGTTAGTTAAATTTGTTGTTTGGGGGCGCAGCTGCATGCTACGGACTACATGTGTTGCCACTGCGTAACGGTCACACTCGCATTCTCATTGAGACGGGCGATCTCCTCGTGCAGATTGTGTCCCAGCCACTGCAGATAGATGCGATCGTAGGCGGGCTTGTACAGACGCAGCGGATTGCCGCGTCTCAATCCCTGATCCGTTTCACCGTACTCATCCAGATACGGTGGCTGCAGGAAGCATCCCTTCGCCGGGCTCAGATACACAACCTGACAGTCGCGAATGCGCAAAAAGATGCCCACCTCGGCGCCACAGAAGTGGGCATGATGCGTACATGCGCCGACCTGTTGTCTGCCCAATTCCGGCTGGCAGCAGTATGACTGGCCGCAGAGCATGGTGCCGCATATTAAGCACATTGTCGGCGTTTTCATCTCCTCGCGCTCATTGTTTGGACAGAAGATGTCCGAGACGCTGTTGATGAGATCACTGTAGTCCTCGTAGAGCGTAACCAGATGCGGCAACGGACGCTGGCATGGCACTATCGTTGGCGATTTCGATTGCGAAGATGCCGTCGGCTCATCTGGGCGTCATCGATGATGATGATTTATTGGCTTGACAGTCGAGGAACTGGCCACTGATGTGCGGATGCGAGGCGAAGCTCTGCATAATTGTCGGATACACCGATTCCATGTCAAAGTAAACGCCCAACTGGGCATCCAGGCCCAGATACTGGCACATCAGCTCAAAGCGATCCGGCTGATCAGTGGGAAAGCTATCGGGGAAATCAACATCGGTGATGCACCGATAAAATAGACACGCGCACCGCAGAAACGAGCTCATCTGGCGTGGGACGTACTTCACCAGATGCGCCAACATTGTCGTGGGCACGCTTAACTGTTCGCTGTCATTCTGCTGGCGCGATAAGCTCAGCCAGGCCAGATTGTGATTACAGTAGAAGGTTGTCATGTTGTCCCTGATATTCGTTGGCAGCTGATCGACATACTGCTGCTCCTCATCGATGTCCCGGCGACGCGCCTGCTCCTTTTCCAAGTCAAATAATATGATCGCCTTGGTCATGTTGGCCAGGAAACATGTCTGCAGTATGTAAAAGTCAAACATGCTGCCGCACGGTAACATCGTCTTGCGTTCTGCAAATAATTGGAGTATATGTTAGTGAAGCTCTACTGTGATATTGTGATTAAATTGATTGTGATTGTGAACAGCACATCTTTAATTAAGGCGCTATCAAACATATACTTATTGAATTGCAATTGTTACAAGCTGAAATTCATTACTTTTTTACTGACTGAACTCAAATTTGATTTTTCTTTGCAAATAAACATAAAGCTATAAGTGAAAATCAAATCAAAAAAGGTAGCTTCAAATAATAAATTAAACATTTCTTTTAAGGTGATTAGCTGATCGATTTACTCGTGCTAGAATTGGTTGGCTGTCATAAGGATGTAAAGGACTTACCGTCAGAGGCAATCAAGAGGTTCGGCACCGTAAAGTTGAGCTGGACGAGCATGCGGAAACAGTCCCATTCGAGGACACTGTTGCCCTTCTGGTTGAAAATGGTGTCGTACAGTTGGACACCCTGTTTCCTCTGGTTACTAATCTGCGACTCTGTCAGATTGGATGAGTAGAGGGCGCAGGCGCGCACCAAATAGCTGGCACAGCTCTGATGCCGCATCGGCATCTCGGCCTTCAGCGGCTTCTGTGTGGCATACTGATACACCTCGAGCGCCTGCAGCGTATAGCAGCAGGTGTCCCAGAGCAGCGAGACCGTCTCCAAATCGCTGTCGGTCGCATTTGGTGAATCCCTCGAGCGCTGACCTTGCAGCTGGCTCTGCATGGCGTTGCGGAGTGCGCCGTGGAACGAGCCCACTACGTCCGTAAAGTTGGCATGGAGCGTCGGCTTTTGTATGATCTGTGCGCTTAGATCGAAGTGCGCCATGTTGTCAATTGTGGTGGTTGCGCTTTCGGCCAATGCCAGCTCGCTGGCCATGCGCAGCGTCTCCACAAAGTTGTCCAGCGGCATAAAGTTCCCAGACGTTGGCACCGACGGTGGCGAGAACTTTTGCAACGCATCGCTGACGGGCAGCACAGTGTTGCTGAGGGTGCGACAATAGGGGCAATGGAACTCAACGTTTTGTGCCTGGTTGAGCGGCACCCGATTCCGTTGCGGGCGTCGCAACTCCTTGGACTCCTCGCTGCTGTAGTACTCCTTCCAGCAGATATAGTGCATAACGTGACCGCAGCAACTAACGTGCAGCGCCGGTCGTCGACCCTCCGCGCTGGGCGTTGTGTAAATCACACGCGATGTTTGCACAAACGCCGAGCTGACCAACGGTGGTCCACTGCTGCTGATGCTGCAGTCCTCGAAGCAGAGTATACACTTAAATCTGATGTCGACCGCCTCATAATGGCGTCGTCGTTCCCCCAGGCAGGCAACTGTTCGGCTTGTTTCCGGCAGCAAAGCGGCAGCGCCCTGCTCCTCTAACGATTCGGCGATATCATCCCAGTCCATCGGTGTATCGCTGCTCGGTTTCGAGGCTGTCGCCGCTGCTGCTGTCGCCGCTGCTGCTGTGGCCTCTTCTGTGGTGCTGGCAAACATTTCAGCATTCGATTTCATAAATGACTTTTGGGCATTCTGCATTTGGGCCATAATCTTTGCGCGACGCTCGGCAGCCAAACGTGAACGATTCTCCTTTTCGAGGCGTGCCTGCTGCTCGGATGTGAGCGGCTGATCAGCGCCCCCATGTTCGTGTGTGCCACTCGAAGAGGTAGCTGCCGATGATGATGATGATGATGATCCTGTTGCCGCCGCCGCTGCTGCTGCTGCTGACGTCGATGTAATGTTGGGCGCCTGCTTAGCCTGCAGCTGCTTGAAACGCTTAATGGTCCACAGCACAAAGTCGTGATGTGCCTCCAGCTGAAAGCGAACAATTAGGATTACTCTGATCACAAGCAAATTGAAGTTTTGGCACACTCACGTCTGGACAACGCGCGAGCTCCTCCAGTTTTTGGAGCACGTTAAACGTCTGCGATCGCTCATAGAAGCTGAGGAACGGATAATGCTCGCTGAGCTCCTCCTGAATGGCAAAGCCCAGCAGATGCAGCACCTGAACAAATTAAAATTGTGATTAGAAATTTAATTCAAATTATATCCAAACTTTTGACTACCTTCTGTAGATGACTCTCCGTGAAGGAGCGGCTGCGCGAGTCCAGCGCACGATCCATGACAATTGCGGTGATGCTGAGGAACACGTTGCACTGCAAAATGTTTGCCATGGAGCTGTCGGATCAAGATGGGGATAGTTAATTAGTAAAACTAGCATGTTTTTTTGGAGAGCGCTCTTGGACTTACGTGAAGGCCGGCGTCAGCTGTGGCAGCATTGGTGGCGGGCAGCAGACGAGCTCCTTTTTGAATTTGCAACGTTCGCGCTGTTGCTCCTCGGCCTTGGACTTGTCCTCCTTGGTGTAGTGATAGAAGTAAACGTTGAACTCATCGTACAGATGCTCCTTCATCTCATAGACGCCCTTGCTTTCGGAGCCGATGGGCTTCTTGAAGGTGGCCACCGTTTTGATGACATGCTCGATGATGCTGTCATTGCTGCCACCGTTGCAGTCTGGCAGAGCACGCGACAGTTCCGAGTGCGAATAAGATTTGGTGCACAGTAGCTGTATGATCTCCTTGCGGAGGCGATCCTCCTCAGTGACAAATGATACGCCCGGCATCCAGCGTTCGCCAATAATGATAATTAGCAGCTCAAGGAACTCATCGGTCATCGCCTTCTGGCGATTTAGCTCATCCTCCGCCAACTTCTGGGGCAGACCCGTATCGTAATTGGGTCGTGCCCATTCGATCATATCAAATTTGTTTAGCATATGGATGAGAAACTCATTGCTCTCCATGAGCGAGGCACCAATCTGTAGGCAAACAATATCCCTGTCCAGCATCTCGACGCGACACCGAACATTTCTATAGAAATAGAGCTGATGCAGCAGCGAGTAACCGTTGCGACGCCACATTCCCGCGGCGACCTGGGCAGTCATGGCTTGGGTGCACAGCACCGGCTCAATAATCTCGCGCGGCGTCAATTTCAGATTGATTGTCTCCGCCTCGGCGAGCAGCATGTCGTATGTCAAATCGTGTGCACCCAAATGGAGATAGATGCCGGCATAGAAGCGTGACAGCGGCAAGTGTATCGAAACCGGACGCTTGGACACATCATATAGTAGACAATTGGCAATATGACCGGCGACTTCGCGTGGCTCCACATCCTGGCTGCCCACAATGAAACTGTTGTTCACCAGCGCCCGCACCGTCATCTTGTACAATTTGCGCAACAATTTGGCATCACTGGATGCCCAATCGATCACCTGGGATATGGTTGAGGCCAGCTTGATGTGCAAATTGAATGCACACTCCCATTCCGGCTCATAGTCCATATGTTGGCCAACTTGTCGTGTTATCGACTCCATGCCCTGCATCACATTCAGCACACGCATCAGAGCCTTACAGCCTATGAGTGAGAAAGAGGGATAGAGAGAGAGAGAGAGAGAGAGAGTAAGAGAGAGATGGAATGGGATGGATTGGGATAACTAACCTTCAAGGAAACCGCGGCGCAAATCACCACTGATCAATTCCGGCTTGATGCTGAGCAAATAACGCAAATCGTAGAGTATGTAATTGGCACGCTTGAAGAACGTCATGCTGGCAATATCCTTGCTAAAATGCAATTTACGATTGTGAATAAACTTCTCGATGGCAACGTGATAGAACGTGTGCAGCAACTTGTCAAAGATGCCCTCTCTGGCGATCAGATAATGCGAAATCGTTGGCACCGTGAACAGTTGAACGCTCAGCGATACGATCGAGAACGAATGATCGTGATCATCGTTGATGAACTCCTCAACAATGCTGGCATAGCGACGCGAGAACTCCTGGGCGAACACCACTTTATTCTCGTACTCCATGAGCATGCCAGAGATGAGTAGGCGATGCCAGCATGTGCGTGCCGTCTTCCACAGTTTCACATCGTATTCGAGTATGTGGCGTATGCAGTAGGATTCGTTCTTCTGCTGCACCAGCGATGCGAACGTCTTACGGAATAGATAGTGACGCACAAGGAACTCCTGGAACCAACTGAGCAACTGCAGTGCAAACTGTTGGCATGCCACCGAATTAATATTCAGCACCGAGGTGCGCAACGATGGACTGTGCCGGGCATTCGTTAGCACGCCGTTCGGCGGTATATTTTGATTTTCGATGGCCGTTTTGAGGTCATTGCACTCCTTGAACGTATCGCATTTGACAACGGCACGACCCTCACGATCAATTGCCGCCACAATCTCCATGGCATCCTTGTGACGGCACCGGGCGATCTTTGTCAGCGTATTTATCACCTGATCGAACGTGTGCGATTCATCGTTGTACAGCACCGTACAGAAGCTGGCCCCATCCAGTTCACCATCCAAACACTGTAGACTCGCATTCGGCTCAATCTCCAGATAGTTGACACAGAACGCCAAAATGGCGCTAAAACAAATTTCGGCTCGTTCCAGTACGGCACTGGTTATGATTTCGCTCTCGAACGGATTCTTGCTGTTCGCCTGAACGAAACAAAGGGCAGATAAGAAGATATGATATGATATATGATATATACATATATATATATGGATTGCATTACTCACCAGATGCAGTTCACAGTATTGATCACGCTTCCAGGCCTCATCGTCACCGCAATCGCAACAGCCACCGCCACCGGAACTGGACATTTTATATTTGTGAAAGCGATGCGCCGAACGCTTAAAGCAATTGACGCAGAGCACACAGGTCGGATCGACGCCACATTCGCGGCAGCTGTAGGTGGGCTCACCGTTTTTGAACACCTTGCCACAAACGGTGGCCGTGTTGCCCTCCATTCGGAGCTTCTCGAGTGCCGTCACCGGATTCTCGTTCAACATGAACTCGACAATGACGTCGATGATCTCCTCCTTGGCCAATGACTCTTTGAACATGCATTTCACTGTAATTAGTATTTGGGTTTTGTTGATGTTGTTGTTGTTGTTGTTTCACAAATTACAAATTACTCTTAGCAATCGAATATTTTCGAGTATTTTCAAATAAAATGGGGATTTTTTGTTGACATAAAAATAATAAGATAATTAAAGAATAATGCGAATAATTTAGCTCTCTGATTTAATGGGACAAAATCGGACAACTGCTAAAAAAAAAAAAACAAATTAAAAATGAAAATGAAAATGAATCCCACTTAATGTTCTAGGCTGTTCTGGCAGTAATCGAGTGAACTTATTCGATATGTGTAGCGTAGAGATTTGGTTCGCTTTGGGTTTGTGCTTGAAAATCTAGCCAAAATGAATCATGATCTAAGGAATTAAGTCACGCTTGCGGCTTATGCTCACATTTGAATAATAATTTGCAATTAATAATAATCTGACGTCATTCATGTAAGATATGAAATGACGTTGTATAAAATGAACCGACCAAAAAGTGATATCAATTTGTGAAATTCTGCTATTCGAATACTGATTATTGATTGATTTCAAATAGACTAAGTTATTATTTTATGGGTTTATGGAGAGCAATAGAGAGAAAGTTGTTATTTGTATGGTCAGATCAGATAAGGGGTTAATAGTCGTGTGTAATCGGAAACTTGTGTGTTATATTTTTGGATTGCTGCTGTTGAGCGTTTTGTTACTCACAAGTTGGTCCATCTGCAATAATAGGAAAAAGAACGAAAACAAATAGTAATTAAATTAAATTAAAAGCACAAAAGTAAATACAAATTTTGGGCAAAATAATATAAAACATACAAATTGAGAAAAATGAAAAAGAACAAAACAGAAACAGCAACAGAATAGAATAAATACATTTAAATAAACACAAAGTATGTGGAAATTTTGTATTTTATCAGGAAATTAACTTCTAGGAAATGCTATTGTAAATATAAATATATATATATATATATATATATATATAAGTCAACTATTTCAAGTGTTTCACTTCCGATTTTATGGTTTTGAGCGTCGAAAAATAATAAAACTATTAATTTTTTGCAACAATTCCAATCAAAATTGTTGAAACTTGACAAACTTTTTCCAATTATTTAGTATAATCTTTTTAAACTTAAACAATTTGATAAAGAGTATCGCGTGAGGTTTTCAATGCAAAAATGCATAATGATTTTGTTGCTAGAAACCAATGACTAATATTTATTTAAATAATATTATTAATCGGGCAACAGACGGCTTTAAAAGTGGGACTGCATAAAAAGTGTGCTTTTGCACAAACTGGTTTGTTAAACTGGCCAGCGTAATAAACAATTAGTTGACATTTGTGCAAAAGCCAAACAAAGACGATCAAAACAAGACTAAACATTCATGTATTCGTCAGTCATCATCGCCGACGATCAAATACCCTTGCCAAACTTGGAACAAAACCAGAATGCTTTTAGTTGGTCTGTGTGTGTGAGGCGACCGCAGCAAGAGTAATCCAAGACTCGGTTCCAAAGCCAAACTAGCACACAATTAACAACTAACGTTTTATTGATATTATGGTTAGAAGACATACAACAAACAAAAAATGAGCAAAAAACCTTCAGCAAACGAGCAAAACGAGGCAATGAAATTGAATCGAGATCGAATCGAAACGAATCGAAACGAAATCGAATCGAATCGACTCGAATCGATCTCGTTGAGATCGCCATAAAAATAGGGGTCAAGGTCGTATCACAGCACATATTGTTTAGATACATCGAAAAGTGAGAGAGAAAGTGAGATGATAGAGATAAGAGAAGAAAGCATTAGCTACAAATTACAAATTACAAATTACATTTCAATTGATATAATTTAAGTAAAGTGCACATTGAGCTTTCCTCCAAATAAGTGCGACAACTAAAAGGGGCAGGAGGCGAAGCGAAGGGGGTTTGTCTACAATCGCCATAGGCTATCAGCATTATGCACTTGTACACTTAAAACGTACACACATAATATATATATATAGTTGACTTATATATATATAATGAATATATGTACAGACAGACGGGAACAAAGGAACGTCTGGAAAATCCTCATTTGCTCCGAGGCGTTGCGATGTTCCGTTCGATTGCCAAGGCTGCCAGTGCGGATATCGATATATATATATATATATACATTTACACTATTGGTCAAAATAAGTGTTCCATTTATTATTATTATACAGGTAAACGATTCATTGATCCAATTGAGCAGAATCCGTGCTCCGACTAGGATATATGGTAATAAGGTCAATGGGAATATCAAATATTGCTTTGAAATAGCCAAAAGTGAACGAATATTGAGTGCGAAATAAAGACAAACTGTTTGCATTCTATGACAAATACACAAATATCTTATCTGTTTTATATTTGATAAGTTTCTTCAACTTTTGTTTATTTGCAAATGCTCAGCAATTAACTAAAACACATCTGGCATGCCAGTGTATTAATACCAATTTGTGTCAAACTAATACCATTTTACAATTGGTTTACTTAGTTTTGTTCAGAGTTGACACATTTCTGTGACCAGCACTGTATTGACACGTTAATATCCGGTAGGTGGCGTCTCAACTCTTAATTGCGTTTTCTGACAGCTCCGACAACAAGAAAATCTCAGAAATTATTATCCAAAAAAGAGAAAAATCAAAAACAACAAGAAATACAACAAAGAAGGAAATGCAAAATATGCGCTGGCAATCGACCTCATACAGAACAGAAGACTTCTTCTGACTTCTTGATTTATGGGCGGCGGACGGACGGACGATCACCAAAATGTGTCAGCCGGACACAAGGACGGTTTCTGGAAATTGCGGAACTGGCCACGTCACTTCGAAGACACTGACGATGATGATAACAATGCTGACTGCAGCTGACTGCTGATAAATACAAATATGATCCGCTGATAGCTTTGACAAACTTTGGGGTTTGCTGAGTAATTGAGGTAAAAGCGTTATCGACCAGCTGATACCATCTAAAATAACTTCTGACTGTAACTATATATATATAGATCCCTTCTAGCATTTCTCGATATCTATAGATACAACTATTGAAGTTAAACCATGTGGAAAAGTCAAATATGTAATTCGATTCGAATTTGCAAGCTGCAAATTGTAAATTGTGCCTGAAATTGAGCTACTTGAAGACGCCTGCTGCAGTTATGGAATGGAATAACAATATTTATTTATTTAATTATAATAATAAATAAATAAAACAAAGTGAATTCAAGCACAGACAACGATGTACATTACACTAACGGAATGTGGCACAAAACTAGTTTTGTTATTGTTGCTAGGCAAGGTTGTTGTTGCTATTGTTATTGTTCTCGTTGTTGTTGCTGCTGTTGTTGTTGCAGGCGCTGCATAGAAGGTGAGACAGGTAATGTAGACAAGCCGAATCGTGCAATCAACTCGTCCAATGAAAGGAAAAACGAAACGATACAGCGAAAATTTGCGGATATACAATAGACAACAATAACACAATAGCAACAACATAAAAATAGTATGTAATACAGAAAAACACAAAAACAAAATGGCATATATATATTATATATATATATGCGTGTACACATAAATAAATAAATCGTGTGTTGTTTTCAATGACAGCAGCAGCAACAAATTCAAGAGCACGGCTCCAGTTTGCCAATGAATAATAGATAAATGTACCAATGTACAAATGTACAAATGTACCAATGTACCAATGAACAACTGTTTCATGTTTGCATGTACATCACATACAAACTTTACTTAAGTTTAAACTACGTCTAAGTAAGCTAGAAATAAACGTCACTCTCTCTCTCTCTCTCTCTTACTCGCTCACTCACCTGTTTCCATTACAGTTAGGAAACCGAAATAGTTGGGCGCTTCCGTCTTTATGTACCAGATGATATCGTTGCGTGTCAATGTGCCAGCCTGGAATTTGAGGCGCCATTCCTTTAATGGCGAGGTGCCGTCGTGTTCGGCCGGTGGTGCAACAACAACATCCTCCATATCGTAACGATCCATATCAGTTATTGTTACTGTTGCTGCTTGTGTTGTTGCTTATTTCACTTCACTTTCAGTTGTGTGTTCTTCCTTTCGGTAAGTGAGAGCAGTCGAACCTTTTTTTCTTTCTATCTTTGCTCGCTCTCCCACTCTTTCTATCCCTCTTGTGCCAGTCGTGTCAATGTATGTGTGTCCTTGGCTCTTGCTGTAATTTGTTGTTGTTATTATTATTATAGTTGTTGTTCTTGTTGCGATTTCTATTGCTTGTTGTTGCTGCTGATGTTTTTGCTGGTTGCATTCGGATTGGGTTGTCTTCAATTTTGCTACTAAACAAATGAATGAAAATATTTCAAATAATTGAGTTTTTTGTGTTTGTGATTTTTTTTTCTCTCCGAAATATCGACTGCACGCACTGATGTATTGTATGAATAACAAACTGATTCGATTTTCTGTTTGCTCGAATGCAAAGTTTCTCATCTGACAATTCAAGCACAAGCTATTCACAAATAAAACAAAAAACAAAAAGCAAAAGTATTTTAACGTGCAACTGTTGCTCTCGTTATTGTTGCTGTTGTTCAACTGCAGTTGTTGCTAATGTTTCTGCTGCTGCTCTCAGTGGCTAGAATTGGCAGCAAAACAAAAACAAAACACACGCAAATGACATGACAATGTGTGAGAGCGAGCGAGAGAGCGCATGACAACATCAGTGGCAACAGCAGCAGCAGCAACCCACAAAACGGCATTCAAATTTTTCGATAAACAGTACAAAAAGAAAACACACACACACTCAAGCACGAGAAAAAAATTATGAAAAAATTCAGCTTGAAACGCAATACATGTTCACCTATATACAAATATATATATATATATATATACACACATACACATATGCATGTAAATACATTTATACATTATACTTGGCAGACAACAACTGCAACTGCAACTAGCCAGATTCTGCAAACATACTCACACACACATACACACACACACACACACATGTGCACAATCACTCGGCTATAGTAACACATACAGACCTACACACACAAACACACACACATACATACACACATACAGCTCTGTTAATAAATGAACATTTTTATTATTGCGAGCTTAACATTGTTTTGTTGTGTCTCGTTTCTTATACACTTTTCTTTCTCTCTCTTTTCTTCTACATATATCCCACATGCGCATGCATACATTTATACATATATATAATAATATATGTATGTATATATATATATATACAGATATATATATAAATATGTATGTATATATATATTTATATATATATGTATGCCATGCAATGCATGGATGTATGTGAGTTTATATATATATATATATATATTTTTTTTTTTTTAACAAATGCCTTTTTGCACTTCCTACATGAAAAACGGAGACTGGACAAGCGACCACAGCAGGCAGCTGATGAATTATACAAGCAAGAGACAATTTAACATCACTCAGCTGCACGCACACACACATACACATACAGGCACACATACAGACGCACGCAGGCAGTCAGTTATATGTATACAACAAACACTATTTCTAAATATGCACATTTTATGTGGCTTGTAGTCTTTTACTTTAATTTGAAATGAATTTTGTGAAATTGCAGGCAGTCAGCAGGCTGGTTCAACTGGCTGCTGCAATTTCGTAATATGCAGTGCACGTTTTAGCTTAGCTTTGCTTTGCTTTTCCGCTTTCAATTAATCGCGTTAGCTTTTGGTCGCGTACTACGCACTACGATTACGAGACAGATTTGGTATTTCTTGATGACTTTTGTATATCGATAGTATCGATACTCAAATCTTACTCATTATAAAACAAATGCAAAAACTAAAACTAATTTCTTATTGCTAAACTGCATGTGTTTTATTGCGACAGCTCATAATTAGTCGGCAAAAGAATATACTAGCTGTTCTTTAAAACATATATCGATGACGACAACGTGACCTACGTCAAAACAGATGTTTTTCTGTTTTGCAACAATACATTCGATTTATAATGAAATCAAGTATGTTGCCATAAATCGATTACTTGAAAGGATCTGCAATTGTAATTTATTTAAATTCTTATATTTTTACAGGTTGCGATCATTTTTAACATTAACAAACATTATATTTGTTATTTGTAGAGCGACGTTTATTTCGTCGTTTATTAAATTACATACTTAAATTGGGTATTGGTGTATTTGTTTAATTGTTTTTCCTTTTATTTTTTGATAATTTACACTTTGTCAACGGAGGCGCTGAGCCGATTTCTTTGATCGTTTGCCTTGCTAAATACCCCGGCGTACCGGCTTGGGGGCAAACAGGACCTTGGCTGGCTTACAGATCTCCAGTTCGCTGCCCGGCTTGACGGCCAGGCAGAGCTGAATCTCAACGAGCGATGCCTCCGTCCAGACGCTGTGCGAGAGCAGGATGGTTGTGCGCAATCTGACGTTAGTCTCGTGCTCCCCCTGCTCGGTCATGATCGGTTTGAAGTCGGTTTGCTTCGGCACCACGGTGTGCATATGCTGATCCGGATACTTGATCTTGATGCGCATGTCCGCCTTCTGCGACTCGAGCAGATTGTCAATCTCGGCGACGAACGGCACGGCGGCAATTAGCCCGGCGGTCACCTTGATCACATTATCCTGCGACTGCAACGGACACGGCTCCAATATATTGGCCATGCACCGACGGATTTTCTCATTGGCCGGCGGCAGCGACAATGGCGGTGCCTGCTGCACCAGTGGCAATATCTCTCGGAATACACGGCCCGGCTTCGGATCCGTTAGAGCGTCCAGCTTGGAGAGCAGCGTACGCGTAAAGTTATCTGGCTCAGCAAGTCCCTGTTCCGGCATCATTGTTGACTTCATCTCCTCCCCCTCCTCCTGTTTGAGCTGCAGCTGCTGCTGGAGCTGCTGCTGCTGTTGCTGATGCGTCTGCTGCTCCCCAAAAGAGTTGCTGCGTCCACGGCTGCGCATAAAGCCGCTGATGTCGCCAGCGGTCTGCAACAGCATCTGACACGGGCCGAGCGCACTCTGCGATCTATCTCGCACCACCAGCACCAGATGCAGGGCACTGGCCCGCAGCCGGAGCTGCTTCACCTGCAGTATGTCGCCATAGTTCAGGCCGGAGAATGTGTGCTGCAGCTTCAAACAGTTGCGTATCAGTTCCGCCAGTGACTCCTTTAACGGTATTCGACTACGTTGCGTGCGGGCGCAGTGTTGCATCTGCTCGATCTGGATCTGGGCCGAGAGGAACGTCTCCAAGAAATTCGATGGACCGTACATATCCGAGTCGATGGCGCCCAGACGCTGAAAACCAAAGAAAAAACTCTTATTATAGATGGATGGTATCATCTAAGTCCAACATCCTTTGTCATTTTGTGCATCATTTAAAGATTGATTTGAATCAAGCTTCCAAAGACGAAACTATGATCTTTGGAGCCATGTTTTATGGAACTGGTAAAAGTCCAGCACGACCAAATTATTATAAATGTAAATTAAATGATTATCCCAAAATTTCTAAACCATTGAGAGCGAGATAGAAGATGATACAATGCTATCGCTCCCGCTCTAATTCGAGTAAGCAACAAGAGGAAGAAATGGAAGAGTATTTTTGGAAGCTAACCTGAAGATTCAATTGAGCCGTCTTGAGCAGCTCGACGCGCTCATCGGTTTTTGTGTAGATGTCGTCAATGTGATTGAGAATCATCTGCAGATATTCGGCAGAGCTGCCGGCTGCTTGGAGAGCATCATCGATGCGCTTCGTTGTGGATGTGGAGGAGGCGCCCTCAATGGGCAGCTGGGGCACCAGTTTCGGCATCGAGTCCCTCAGATAGGCATAGTGGCGATGCGTTGCCGTTGGCAGCAAACTGATGAGGGGCACCTGATGCTCGGCGGCATTGAAGACCAGTATGAGGACACAGAGGTAGGCCGGATCCTCGACATCCCGTTCGGGTGTCTCGAAGAACGGATGCACATAGAGCAGATGGCCGGTGACGGCCATCACCAGATGCGGATGCTTTTGTCCAATTTTGCGCATGCAAGCGTATGTTGAATGGCGATCCTGCGGATATTTGGCAAGGACATCGAGCAGCTTCTGGACGACCATGAGGAGGCAGGATTGCGTTGAGACGCGACAGGCGCCGAGCATCAAGTGGAGACCCTCGCGCACATCCACCGAATAATCCTCGAGGGAGCCGAGCATTATCTCCAGCTGATCCTCACGCAACTCAATATGCCGGGCAATCGCCGTCAGGCTGTAGATGGCCTTCAGACGCACATCCTCGATCTCATCGTTGAACATATCGACAAGAAAATCGAGACTGGTCACCGCAAACTCCGGCCGCGACATGGCCAGCTTGCACATGGAGCCAACGGCAGCGGTTCGCACCTCGAGGAACTCATCCTCCAGGCCATGGATATAGGCGCCGCATGCGCCGCTCGCAATCAACGAAATGGTGCGTGCATCCAGATGCTCATGGGGTGCATCGTCTGCCCAGCGTTTGCCCGACGACCATTCGCCGCTGGTCACCAGGCGGGCGCCACGCTCGTGGGCGTTTCGCTTGCGTCGCAGATTGCTCATCAGCTTCTTGTCGAGCGTCTGGTTGAGGAATTCGCTGCTCACCGCCGTCATGCTGCCCAGCAGATCGGCAGCCAGGACACGTATCTGCAGCGATAGATCACACAATGCCTCGCACACCTTGCTAAATGCCGCGTCGATCATCCGAATATCCTCGTGCTGACGCTCCGCACTCAGGATGTAGTCGGGATGCCGATTGCCGAGCATGTGCACCAGCCGGAGCGCCTCCTTGCGCACACACTCGTAGTCATCCTTCATGGCCTCGACGGCACGCTTATACAGCACCGGCGGCAAATGGGCGCCACGTTCGCCCAGCGTCAGCAAGGCATGGAGCGCCTGGGCGCGCACACCCGACTCCTGGGAATCGATGTAGAAGGCCAGCTTCCAGACGTATTGGCGCTCGCTCTCGTGACAGGTGGCAAAGCGTCCGATGACGAGCATTGCATTCTTTTGCGTATGCGTCGATCCGCTGCGCAACAACTCCTTGGCCAGATGCGCCACCTGGGTGTTGTAGGCGAGCGGCACCAGATGCCGCCGCTGCTGACCAATGCGATAGAGGCACATCATGCCCTGGGCGAGCACCTTCTGCGAGGTCTCCTTGCGCAGCAGATAGATGAAGTAGTCGATAATCAGCACGACAGACTCTTCGGTGCTGCATTCGCAGCCGAGGCCCGAGAGCAGCTCCAGCAGCTTGACGCGCAGCGAGGTGTCGCTGTCGCGATCCTGCAACTGATATAGCTGAAACAGTTTGCCGGCTGACTCCTTGAGCTCCGCTATCTGGACATTCTCGTACGTTATCTCATCGGTGATCTTCACCAGGACCTCGAGCAGCTCCTTTGCCTGTCCACTGCTGCTTGCAGCTGGTGCTGTTTGACTGGCGCTTGTGCCGGCAACGGCTGCAATGCTGCTGTGGCTGGTGCAGCTGCTGCTGCTGCTGCTGCCGCCAATGGTGTTGCTGGCGGGCAGATAGGGATCGAGCAGTCCCAGCACATGCAGTTTTCTTTCGACTTTTGGTTTCGCTTTGCTCGCCGCTGGCGCTGCCGGCGCTTGCAAGCGCAGTTTTTTCAGCGGCGACGGCACGCCGAGTATCGTCTCAATGAAAGACGGCTGTTTATTGATGATGGCTAGCGCCATTTTTGTCGCTATCAATTCCCGTTTGTCCTTTGTTTACTTTGCTTCGCGTGCCAACTAAAAAAAAACCTTGCAATTCAACAACTTAGCTCGGAATTAAATTGTAATCGATATATCGATATCGTGTATCGGTACTTAGTATCGATTTATCTTTTCGTCGTCCCTATTTTCACGATATATCGGTGTTTTAACGGTAATTGTTTTTGTGGTACTTTGACAAAACGAATTAATTTACTTCATTCAATTTTATGATTTGAAAAATTGGCAGATAGATATTGTTGCTAACGAACTCTAAAATGCGTTATTATAGTTGAGAAAACTATCGATAGCATTTCGCAATAATCCTGACCTATTCAAATAAATATCGAGGTCTCCATAGCAACGCTAGTTTGATTTAAGAACAAACATCTTGCGGCAAGTATTAAAGCATTTTAATTAGCCTGCAAGAGAAAAGAAAAGTTGGGAATATGCTTGGTTGCTCAAAATTGTGTTCATATGCCATTTAAATATTAAAAAAGACAAACATTTCTAAACTTGTTTCAAAGCACAAACTCTCATAATAATTCTGATCAGACTTTGCTATTGCTTAAAGTTTTCTACTTTACCCCTGCAGTTTTTTTCCCCGGTCAACACAGCAAATTGCTTTGTAAGTAAGTAGGCTTCTCTCAATGGCTGGACAATGGCAGAAGAATTGTTGCCAAACATTTTTCTTGTATTTTTCCTAGGATTCCCCAGGTTCTGATTGTTTCAGGTGACGAATCTGTTCAGACTCTAGACTGATACAATGATCATATGCTCCTCTTGGACTGAATGCGATAGTCTTTCATTCACAACAATCGGAACTCATTTTGGCAATTCATTTCTGTTCACCATTTTTACAATTGCAAGTCATTAAAGCTTATGTAGTGTTGTTTATGCCGCAAATACATTGTATTTAGTAAAATAATAATCAAAATCCTAACAACAATTATGGAACTACATATCGGTTTCAAATTGTTTCGTGTTTGCGCTAAATTTGAATGGTCAAAGATGCCACAGAAGGAAAAACATCGTAACGATTTTCATCGATGCGATATGCAATATTTCATCACTAACCGCGAGAAGCAGCAGCGGCGGCCAGCAGCGCTCTGTGTGTGTGTGTGCGCGTGTGTGCGCGACGAAAAAGTATAAATCGTAACGAGCAGCAGCAAAAAAAAACGTGTGAAAATTTATAGAAAGGTATTGCAATAGAATAATTCACAAAATGTCTAACATTATGCCAAAACTCAATAGACGCGAAGACATTTCAAGGACTTTCTATGTATCTTTGCTCTGTGTGTGTGTGGTGTCTGTGTGTGTGTCTTGTGTGTGACCAGCAGCACCTGGGCGCTAGAGTGGAAATTTTGCGTTCAAGGACAAAACAGAACGACAGTGTGCCCACAGCTGAAAGTGTGTACAGTGTGATGTCCCCCACCCAATCCTCTTCTCCCCACCACCCCCCCACCACACACATTCTCTGTCCACTCTCGATATGCACTCCTCGCTCAAATAGTCCCAGGCTCACGAGCTGCACACATAAATATACATCTCTACACACATACATACGTCGAGAGAAAAAAAAAGGAAAAATGTACCGACTTTTAAAAGAGCGGGCGCATTTTTTTTCTTTTTTTTTCCATTCAGTTGATCTGCTGCTATAAAACATCGTTGATGTCATGTGTACAGTTACAGCTGAAGCGCGACAGGGCAGCATATGAGAATATCTAGTGTAAAAGAGCACATTTTTAAAATAGACATTTGCACATATTTGAAAAGAAATTTAATTTTTAACGAAACCTACCTATATATAAAAATACATATATACATATACACATGTATACATATATATATATATATAGGCATATATATATAGAGATTTATATAAATATATGTATATATATATATATGTGGGTGTGTTTGTTGCGTGTGGGGTTGCCAATGTTTTTTTTTTATTCGCTCTGAGCGAGCGGACATGCGCATACTATCACATGTGCGACACGCTCGCTCCTCGCTGCTCTCACATGGGTCGCACTGAAAATAACATTGTAGCTATTGAGAGCAACAGAGTTGCACAGAGAACACAACAAGCGTTTGACAAAAATGTACGTAAAGAATATGTAAAAACACACACAAAAAAGAAATAAGAACAAAATAATAAAAAAAAAAGGAAAAAAGAAAAACAACAGCTGCGCAGACTTGACAAAGTCGATAGGCTGCTAAAGTATGCTTGTAGTGGAATGGGTAGAGGGGAGGTGTGTGTGTGCTTGGTTCAAATCTTGCTGATGCCCATTTCCAATTGCACGGGGCGCAGAGTCGCATTGTCGACAGTCGCGCACAGATTCTCGTAAACAAAACGCTCGAAATTTGCGTACCACGTGTGTTGCTACTGTGTGCGTATAAGTGTGCGTGTGTGTGTGAGTCTATGTGCTTGCATGTGTGTGTGTATGTGTGTATAAATACGTTATTGCAATTGTTTTGTGTGCAGCTGATTCGCTGTTGTTGTTGTTGTGCTCGGTTTATTACCGTTTCACGATTTAGATCTTCCTGTATTTTGAGGGCTGCTAATCAACATTTAAATTTGCGGTACATCCGCTGCGGGTATTACTCAAAAATTCGTTAGAACCCGCGTGTGCTTCTGTATATATATATATATATATATATATATATATAAATATATAAACATATAAATATATATATATAAACATATATATATATATATACACAGAAGTACATTATATAGATGTATATGTAGATAGAATGTATGCTGCCATCCTTACTCAAGGATTTTTAGCGTAGTGTCCTTGCGGCAAGCAATAAAAAGTGGCGCATAAAGGGCGAAAATCAAAGTTGAATTTATTGCAAACGACATTGGCTCCACTTACAACACATACAAACACACGCAGAAATATGTACATATGTATGTATTTAGCTGCTGCAGCAACGTTGACGCAAGCGCCTGCGCCAATTGGCCATTCGCAATTTATACGAGTACATCGTATAAATATATATTTATATATATATTGTATGTGCGCGTGTGTGTGTGTGTATACAGTGGCACGTGCGTTAAGAATCGATTTGCATCCATCCTGCCGCTGAAGCTTGCGTTAATCTCCGATAATAATTATCGTGATCACATCTGGACTTGTGATCAGCGCGAACACTTGCAATGTACTTATTTTGTTATCGGACTTTACATTATTCTAGTTTACAATTGGAATTCAATTTCTTTTTAGACATGCTTGGAATTGAATTGAATACTCATTCATTCATCCTATTGAATTTGATCCCTGTTATTCGTATAGCGTACATCACATAAATAGTATATATATATATATATATATATATAATAAATATATATATAATAAATATATATATAATAAATATATATATAATAAATATATGAGTATGTATTACGGTTTCTCGCCTTACATATAAGTACAATTTGGAATATGATATTCGATAACCTTGAATTTGTGACAACTTATCGATCGACAAGCATCGATAAAAAGGATAGAATTTTCAAGAAGCACAATTGCGTTAATGTGTTAACGTTACTTGTACCCCAAGGTATGCAGCAGATTCTGCAGGCTGTGAATTGTTGTGTGTGTGTGCGTGTGTTGCATAAGGTTAACAGTGCCTGTAATAGTAACAGCAAAAGTAGTAACATAAACAGTTCATCATTTACTTTATTGTCAAGACTTGAGTATGTTTCCTATTCACTATTACTTTTTAAACCCTCTGTGCTAGGCGTTCAGTTGTTTGTATCTTTCTTTTTAAGATTTTTTTTTTTGTGTTTTCGTTTTTATTATTTTTAAATCGGTTCGCGTTCCGCTTAGGTAAGTGGCGTATATTTCGCTGCTTGTTTTCTATATTATCTCTGTCATCTTGTTGGCCGCGTTAGCTTATAAGCATTTTACAATCAAGTCTTAATGGCTTCGTTTGGTAATTTTTCTATTTACTGATATTCGCTGTTTTCTGTTCGTTTCATTTTCTTTTTTTTTTAACGCAGAACGACGCTGTTGTCCTTCGTCTATTGTCGTCGTTTTCGTCATCGTTCGTCGTTTTCGTCATCGTTCGCTGTTTTTTCTCGTAGTCATCATCGTTCTCGTCGTGGTTAATGCAACACTTCAAAATTTATAACAACGCGCAAGAAAATTCACTGCTTTAAAAGTACCTCTTACGGATCGGAGCCAACAACAACAACAGGAACACGGGATAGCAACAAGAGGAGAACGGACTAACTGTAATTCGAGAGGCTGCTTGCAAAATGCACCTGCAACAAAAACAAGAACAACAACAGACGACGCATACAAATTAAACGGAGCAGAGAAACCAAACAACGAATTGTCCTCGTCTCTGTTTGGGGCAGAGTGCGTGTGTCTCTGTGTGTGTGTGTACGAGAGAGAGCAGCGTGCGAGCGCACACTCTTGCTCGCTCTCTTTTGCTATCTCCTGCCTGCCTGCCTTTCCGTTACTCGACTTGTGTGTGTGAATGAGTGGGTGCAGTTGTGTCGCAGAGACTCAAATATCAACGCACTCTCGCTCTTGCTGGTGTGTAAACAATTGGCATGGAGTGCAAACATTAACAGCAACAACAAACAACGTTAGGGATATGCAGCTAAAACAGCAACAAGATTAACAGTAATAGTAAGCGTAAATAACTGCAAACCGAAAAAATATATATACAAACACAAACAACACCACAAGCAATCGTACACAGACGATAGAGAGAGAATTGCAAATACATAAGCGACACGGTCTGACGACAAAGCAAAAACAAAAACAAAAGCAATAGAAGCAGCACGAACAGTGGCAGAAAAATTACAAGTTGCTGGCAACATCATGAGCGCGCTGCTGGAGGAGCTTGGCCAGAAATTGGCCTCAGCGACAACAATCGATGACCAAAAACAACAATTGAATTCGACACGATGCGATGATTCGAATTCATCATCGGTGCTGGAGGACATCGACGTGACGAACACGAGTAGCAGCAGTACAAGTAGCAACAGCAGCACAACCAGCAGCAGCTGCAGCCATGGCTCCGGCACCGATACAGACACCGGCAAGGGGAGCAGCACTGGTGGCAGCATGGATGCGGCACGCGTTAGTTCGTCGAGCATTGGTTCGGCATCGATTGCATCATCATCGGAATCGACGAACGCATCATCATCCGTCAATTCATCAGGCCTGGGCCTGGTAGTCGATGTGGACAGCAACATTGGCAGCAGCCAGGAGCTGAGCCATGGCTATGAATCCAAGAGCGTAACGGAACTCGATTCGCTGGAGGACACGTGTGGTTCAATGCTCAAAGATGCCGACAAGATGTGCAAGCTATGCAGGTGAGTCTTATTTCTAAATTGAGTACATATCTATATGTATCGATAGGCAAACTGCATCAAATCGATTGCTCGATTTGCATGCCGTTTTGAGTCGAATGTGAATCGATTACCTAAAATTGGCCATAATGCTAATTGAGACTAAGTGTAACTATCGATATTATTGCTTGATCGTTGTTATATAGCAACTGTCCGACCCGCCAATTAAAAACATGGCCTCTTCAAAATTCTTATTTACAGTTCACGTTTGGTTATGCCGCGCATTTTATCCTGTCTACATGTATTCTGCGAGGACTGTCTGGTCAGTTTGCTATCGAACAAGGAGGCCAGATCCGCCAGCTCGCCGGCCGTGTCGCTCTCATCGACGGCCAGCTGCTCGTCGGCATCGTTCGATGGCAGCGAACATCAGCATAGGATGCACGCGCTGCTCGAGTGTCCCGTGTGCAAGCAGCAGACGCAGCTTGGCAGCAAGGGTGTCAAGGAGCTGACCTGTGACTATATTGTTACCAATATACTCGATCTGTCCAATCTCGAATCGGAGCATATACCGTGCACATCGTGCAAAAGCAAAGAGGATGCCATCTCCCGTTGCAACGATTGCGCCAACTTTCTGTGCAATGGCTGCGATAAGGCGCACAAATATATGCGCTGCTTTGAGAACCATCAGGTTGTGCGCATCGAGGATCTGCAAAAGAATGTGCAGAACGACAACAAGCTGATCATACACAAGCCAATCTGCTGTCGCCAGCACATCAATGAGAATCTCAAATACTATTGCTTCACGTGCCAGGTGCCGACGTGCAACGATTGCCTATTGAGCGAACATAAGGGCAATGATCATCATTACGAGACGGCCGTCATTGCCGATCAGGCGGTTCGTGCCGATCTCGAACAAACCATTGGCGATGCGCTGAAGAAGGCTGAATATTGCAACGATGCTGGCAGCAATTTGAGCAGTGCTCTTACCGAACTGCAAGCACAGCACGACAATGTCCGGCAGCAGATAGATGATGCATACAAGAGCTACAAGCGAATGCTCGAACTAATCCGCGATCAATTCCTAACCGAACTGGGCCGTTTGCATTCGGAACGCGAGCTGAAGATAATGGATCTGATGCAGAGCCTGGAGAACAACATGGGACGACTCGAGCAAGCCTCACAATTCGGTCAGCGTGCCCTCGACAAGGCCAATGCCGTTGAGTTTCTGCTGCTGAAGCCAGTGATCAGTGCCCAGTGCAGCTACCTCGTCGAGCAGACGCCCCAAAGTGATGCCAACTATCAGCTGCACTTTGAGTGTATGCCCGACAAGTTTGAGCGTTTCGCACGCGAAATGTTTGGCAAATTTCGCACCGAATCAACGAAATATCAGCAGCAGGCGACGCAGCCTGCAGTTGCAACGGCAGCAGCTGCAACACCAAACGGAAATGCAACAAATGCAAATGGAAATGTTATTGGAAATGCAATGTGTGGCGCAACACCATCACCGACCGCTACAACGCCCAAGCAGCATTCACCGCCACCTGTTTTTTTGGTGCACGGTGGCTGTCATGGCGTTGGTGTTGGTCTACTGCCCTCTGGTGTTGGTGGTAGTGTTGGTGGTGGTGGTGGTGGTGGTCGCAGTTTGGCTGGCGCTGGCAGCAGCGCCAACAGCAGCTCGGTGCAAGGACGCTTGAGCTCGGCGGCGGTATTTAGTCCCATATCATTGCCATCATCGTTGCAGAGCTCATTCGATGGCGACACCTCGGTGATGACTAACTTTTCCATGATGAGCACACTGCCGCCAGATTCGCCGCAGCAATTGCAGCCGCCGCTGCAGCAACAACAGCAGCAGCAACAGCAGCAACAACAGCAGCAACAACAGCAGCAACAACAACAGCAGCAGCAGCAGGCTCTGCAACAGGTGCAGCAACAACAGCAGCAGCAGCAGCAACAACAGCAGCAGCAGCAACAGCAGCAGCAGCAGCAACAACAACAACATAAGCAACAGCATCAACAACAGCAGCAGCAGCAGCAACAGGTGTTGCATCAACAGCCACAATCGCTACCGGTGGCCCAGCAGATGTCAACCCGTCAGGGCATTGTTCAGGTGCCGCAACCAGGCGGACATGTTAATCTCATTGCCGGACAGAGCAATGCCGCTGTCAACATGGGCCTTAGCTCACTTAATGGCATGGGCATGAATGCTGGCGGTCAGCCGCCACCATTCAGCATGCTTGAATATAATCTGTCACGTTTGGCCAGCCTCACCGAGAATATACCCGATAATCTGAACGATGCCTTAAACGTTGGCAGCTCCAATGCGGCTGCTGTCGTTGCGGCTAATGACGCCAGCGGTGGCCCCGGTGTCGGCGGTGGCGTCGCCGGCGGTGGTGTTGGTGGCGGCGTTGTTGGTGCTCCATCGCACCAACATCAACAGGCGGTTATACCCGCCTCGGCAGTCACGCCCACACAGCCGATTACATTGGCCGACATCCTGTCGGGTGACCAACGTGCGCTCAACAATCTGCAAGCTCTGGCCAAACTGGGACTCAACAACAATGGTGAGTACAATCTGTGGAATATCTTTATGTTATGTCTTAATCCACAATCCTGTGCAGACCATATTTTGAATGCCGAGATAGATGTGTGTATATAAAAGATATAAAATTACTCATATTTTTAAACTGGCTAAATTTGAGTTCAATTGAGTTCAATTTGCGAAACTAAACGTTTGACAATTAAAAATTGCTACTGCTTTAAATTTGAGGTCAAATTGAATTAATACAATTTTGTTTTTGTTTATGTTTGCATTTTGTGCACTTCAAACTAAATTATGATTGTTGAGTTGAGTTGAGTTTTTTACGTGCCTTGTAAACTGGCATTCTCTGCAAGGGTATTGAATTTTCGATATTCCGTTGTTTTGCTCTTTGAATTTTGTTTTATATATATTTTTTTTATATATATATATTTTTATTTGTTTTTCTTTATTTTTGTTTTGACACCTTTTGAGTTTTTCTTTTTATGACCACCAATTACACAACCAACACCAAAATATGATATCAACAACAACACCCAACAACAAATCCTTAAACACTTAACACCACCCAACCAACCAATCAACCAAACAACATCATAGATGAGCATCACGATTTGTTGTCGTCGAACGGAAGCTCAACGTGCCTTGATTATATTTTAACAGATTTCTGCATGCCGGCAGCGACCTCGCCCAATCTGCAGACACTGAATCCGATCGTTGGCGGCGTCGAGGAGATGACCCTCAACAATTTTCACGCTGTCGCCCAGCCGGGCACTACCAGTGTGGTAACTGGCCGCAACAAGGCCACACCTATGCAGATCCGTTGCAAATTTGGCTCACTGGGCACGGCAAAGGGTCAATTTAATTCACCGCATGGCTTCTGTTTGGGCGTCGATGAGGAGATCATTGTCGCCGATACCAATAACCATCGCATTGAGGTCTTTGACAAAATGGGCGCACTTAAATTTCAATTTGGTGTCGCTGGCAAGGAGGAGGGCCAACTCTGGTATCCACGCAAAGTGGCCGTCATGCACAACAATGGCAAATTCGTTGTCTGCGATCGCGGCAACGAGCGTTCCCGCATGCAGATCTTTTCCAAATGTGGTCACTTTATGCGCAAAATTGCAATCAGGTTGGCAGCCAACTAACAGCAGCATTCATTTCAATTCAATTGCTTAAACATATTTTTTTGCTCTTGCAGATATATTGATATCGTTGCTGGCCTGGCTGTTACCGCCAAGGGTCACATTGTGGCCGTCGATAGCGTTTCGCCCACCGTATTCGTCATCTCCGAGGAGGGTGAATTGGTGCGTTGGTTCGATTGCAGCGACTATATGCGTGAACCCTCCGATATTGCCATACGTGGTAAGTTTTTTCATTCATTTACTGTATCCATTTAAAACATATTTGTTAATCAATTGTTATGCTTTTTAAATTGCAGACAACGATTTTTATGTGTGCGACTTTAAGGGTCATTGTGTGGCCGTTTTTCAAGAGGACGGCACATTCCTCTATCGCATTGGCAACGAGAAGGTCACCTGCTTCCCCAATGGCATCGACATATCGAACGCGGGTGACGTTCTCATCGGAGACTCGCACGGCAATCGCTTTCACGTCGCCTGCTATTCGCGCGAAGGCGCTCTTCAATCCGAGTTCGAGTGTCCCCATGTTAAGGTCAGTGTTGGTGCTTGTAATTTTTCTTCTTGTTCAAACAAGTTGCTGAGGGGCATACATATATGCTTCTGGTTGACCCGATTCAATCAATTTAAGATTACAATATATATTCTTCAACTAATTTGCGTATTCTGCTGTCGTCAATGAAGTAGAAAATTTGTATTTGTCTTGTGCATTATCTGGTTTTAAATTAAGTACCATTATTTATGCTCTGATAACCAAAAGAGTCTAACAACAGTATATATTATATATAATTTGTGCAATATCTTTCCGTTGATCTGTCGGTCCGTAACTGTAAATATATATTGGTCTGCGATCGCGTCAAAGTGTTCAATTTGAGATGCTACATTGTCGAGGAAATCGATGAAACCACACATCTGCCACAATTTTAGAGCTACAGTCATCAAATTATTGGAGAAGTATTATCAACCCTGAACCCAAAGGATACAATGCAGTTCAGTGCAAGAGTATGTAAAATGCAGAAGGAAACATATCAAAACCCATAAGCTATATAAATTCTTGATCAGCTTCAAAAGGCGAGTCGATTCAGCATTGTCTGCTTATATGCATTCAAAATCGATTTCCGATAACGTACTATCGATAGCATTTGAGAGAGTGAGAGAGTTAGAGAGAGAGAGACAGCTATCTGAAAACGCTAGCTTATTTCTCAGCATGATATTCAATTGTAATTCGTTTGTTTCTTGTGTGTGCAGGTCTCACGATGCTGCGGCCTGAAAATTACCTCTGAGGGCTATGTGGTTACGTTGGCCAAAAACAATCATCATGTGCTCGTTCTGAATACCCTCTATGTTCACTGATTGCAAATCAAAGCGCGAAACAATCGTCCAGCTGTCGATATGAACAAATACAACTATAAATACTCGTCGGGCAAGATATACGGATGTCGTAGGCAGCAGCAGCATCATCAGCAGCAGCAGCAGCATCATCAGCAGCAGCAGCAGCATCATCAGCAGCATCATCATCATCAGCAACAACAGCAGCAGCAACAGCAACAGCAGCAGCCGCAGCAGCAACAGCAGCAACAGCAGCAGCAGCAGCTGCAACAACAACAACCACAACAACTACAATCAACAAGCAACAACAAGAGCAACAGCAACAAAAGCATTAGCATCAACATCGACATGGAGCAGGATGGCAACAATATAATTCGAGGTATACCGCCGCCTTCGATTTAAGAAGGCTTTTCCAACGGGGGTCTACTAGCAAAACAATATCGTTAGGTGAGCAAGAGCAATGTGAAAAAGAAAAACAAAGGGCGAAACAAATCTCGAACACACACATATTTAAGATGAAAAAAAGAAAAGAAAAGAAAAAACAAAAACAAAAAGAAAAAGAAAAAACATTTTAAGCAAAAATGCTGTCATTGTGAAAGAGGCAAACAGCAGCAACATGCAACAAGAAAATGCAAAAACACTATTTTTGATCTCTCATTTAAAACAAAAACAAAAAGAAAACAAAAAAACGATTAGCGGTACTGAAATAAAAACCACAACAACAAACAAATCTATAAAAAGCAACAAACATCTTTACTTAGTGTAAAAATAAAAACAAAACAACAAAAATGAAAACGAAGAAAACCTTCACTTATTTTTCAACACTTAAAAAAATGCTCTTAACTGTTTTTTTTTTAATTTTTAATTATGTTCTTGTTAAAAATTGTCATACAACATGAATCACTCGAACACATAGACACACACACACACACACCCACACACACACAACACACACACAACACACACACACATTCACTTTACAACACAAGAAACAACTACATGTTACTTATTATCTATGTATAGACATATATATTGTTATATCAACCGATTAGCTTTTTTGTGCAAAACCCTTCCAGAATCTTTTTTCACAAAAACAAACGAAAAAAAAACAAAACGAAACACGCATATATTTAACATACTATATATATATATGTATATATATATATATATGTGTGTGTGTTTCTATACATACATATACATTTGTGCGCTTTTTGTGCACATTTCCAAAGTGGGCAGGAAAAACCAGGCGAACAATTTTGTTGAAGCGTCGCAAAGGCAATAATTAACAACAAGCAAAACTCTAAAGTTATTTAAAAACCAATATATATATATATAGATATATATATTATATTTTCGATTTATAAAACAAAAAGGGGGACGAACAAAAATACTAGAAGAGAACTTTTTACGTTTTTCCTTACTGCTGCGTATAGAAGGTGATATCTATTTATATGTATATGTGTATATAACGATGTATTTAAAAATAATAACTTAAACATACATATATTTGAAATCCTATGACTATATGACTTTGCCATATATATACATATGTATATATATATATATATATATATATATATATAGATCTATATGTAAATATATATATATATGTGTATGCACACAACTAAAACGAACAACAAAATCAAACCTTATATATACATTAAATACGTGTGTGTGTGTGAATGTGTGTGTGTGTGTGTGCAACATGTTCTCATTGTCGCGTTGTGCGTGTGTAGTAATGATAAATAAAACAAAACATCTACATACAAACTATTTGTAAGCTAACAAACCAAAATGAAAAACAAACAACAAAAAAAAAAACGCAAAAATACAACCAACAAACAAAAGCAAACGCAAATGCAAATGCAACATGTTTGCTATGCATTAGGCCAACCAACTGAATAAGAAACAAAAATGATAAACAAATCAATACTAATTATAAAAATGAGACGAAGAAGATGAAGAAGAAGAAACAAAAAACATAAGAAAAACCAAACAAAAACTATTGTTAAGTTCTATATATATATTTACAATGTTAAAACGATATTCCTTTTGCTTATATACATACAAAAACAAACATATACATACGTGTGCATATGCCCACATACACATACACATACACACAGATGAATATACATTATATACAATATAATATATACATGTGTATGTCAGATATATATATATATATATATATATATATATAGCACATATTGGGGCATGTGCCATTTCTTTCCCGTTGTAATACAATATATAAGGCTGGTTTACTCCCAAGACATTATTATTTTTTTAAATAACATATATAACATACATACTACTATTATTATTATTATTATTATTATATTATTAGGTTATGTGAATATTACGACTTTTGTTGTTCTTTGAATTTTGTATCATGTAAATTTATATTTTACTATGTTCTAAAGTGAGGAGACGATGACGTTTATCATACATTTTGAAAGAGCAGAGCAACTTATTTTTTATAGGCTGTAAAAAACATTTTATTATATACAACACACAACACACACACACACTCAAACGCCTAGTATATGTATATATATATATATATATATACAGATATGTATATATATATATAATATTTTTTAATCATACACAAGAATCGTACGTACAGAAATGATTTTTGTATATTGTGTACGTGACTAGTTAATGGAGACGACTTTAATTTTTTTTTATTATTATTATTTTTGTTTGGATCAAACACTTTTGTTTATTAATTCGTTTAACGGCGTTAAAATTTAATGTGTTTCAAATGAATAACTGTTTTTTATCTTGTCATTTATTAAACTCTAGTTAAAAATACATGTAATGTATAGTATATATAAGCATATATACATATATATGTATATGGCAAGCGCTCTTTAAAACAACAACAACAAGCAATTAAGCAATTAACGAAACAAGTTCAAAACAAGATACAAAATTCAATTCAGTGCGGCACCGAATAAAATGTTTTTAAATTGATATTTAAGTTGTGAATCAAATCAAGCAAAAAACACAACCACGATAAGAAAATGTATCCTTATTTTATTTTGTAAAATACTTTGTTTTTTTTTGTTTTGTGTTATACTTTGTCCGGGTTTTTGATTTTAATCTATTTGTTGATGCTACGTGTGAGGCTACACTTTTCATTATCGATATACCTATGAAAACCAACAACAAGAAGAAGAAGAAGAAGAACAACAACAACTATAGCTATAACTACACCTATTCACATAAGTTTGAGAAACGCTTTTAATTGTCTTATGATAAATATTATTTTGTTTTACTATTTACTATTGATATCTTCACATAATTAACACATGGTTCATGAATTTTTATACATTTGTTTAACGAGCTTTGTGAAGAAACTGAAACTAAAACTTCTCCCAAAGTTGTTGTCGATGAAATGAAAGAGGAAAAAAATGAAAGAAAGAAAGAAGAAAATGCAATTTTTGTGAACAATTTGGCTGTTGAAATATAATTTTAATTTATATATATAAATACGTTTATTATGATGATTTTTGTTTACTATTTAATTAAGAGTAATTACATCATGTTATATTGTATACAATAATTTGAATGGCTAGATCGAGCCAAAAGGCGTCCACAACCACACCACCACCCCCCCCAAATGAAAACTATTGTGCTTAGAGAATTTACTTCGATTTCTTATGTTCGTAAATCGTATCGAGAGTTGTTTTCTTATTTGTACAACTACAACAACAAAACAAACAAAAAACCAACAAACAAACAAACTAATAAACAAGTATTAAGAAAAACAAAACTACAAAAACATCGCAGACACAGGAAAACAAATACAAAACAACAACTCATGTGAAATATGCCAAATTTGTGTTATTTTTCTTATTTGCGCCTTACATAATCAACAAAAAATTTCTGTGAGAAAAAAAAACTCTTAAACTGTTATAAACATTTTTGAAAAATTGTCATCAAAAATCGTACTTTGAAAGCGACTTTTTACACTTTGTTTCTAGTTATTACAAAAGCCTTAACAAAAAAAAAAAAACGAAAAAAAAAAGAAATTGTAATTCCACACGCTTTTATTTATAACATATACATATTTGTTTTTTTTTTTTTTGTTTTAGTTCAAAGAAGCAAACAGCAAAAAAGAAAATGTATTTTTGTTTGAAACAAAATTAAAATTTTTTTAGATTTAGTTTCATAAACAAACAAACAAACAAAGAAATGAAGAAAAAAATCCAATACAAATGATATTAAGTAAACGAAAACTTGATTTTTATGCAATGCGTTTAAAACTTTTCCAAACTAAGAAAAAACGATTGAAAAAAAATTGCAAATTAAAAAGTAATGAAACAAATATAAATAATATAAACTAATCGATTTCCTATTGCATACAAATTTATGAAAAAATGTGCTTAAGTTTAAATCAAATTTACAATTTAGTTGAGATTATGAACTACAACTTTTTACATAACAGTTATATATATATGCCTGTATATGTATATGTATAACGTTTAGCTAAAATATATACAACCATATGTAAGTTAAGCCAATGGCAAAGGCGGCAGGGTTGGTCGGCCATTGGGCGTGGCACTGGACATTGGACACGGGACAAGGGAAACGCGACACTAATCTAATCTAATCTAATCATCGGATTCTACTCTACTACTACTACTACTACACAGAACACATAATTGAACTAGTCAGCAGCGCTTACGTCACACAAGACATGATTACGTGCTTACGTTCAGCGTGACGTAAACGGAGAAACAACAGCGACAACATCACGTTAAATGACACATTAAAGCAAACGGAAATTAAGCATCACTTACCATTACGTAACGTAACGGAACATAACGTAACACGCTTACGCCCAGCGTAAGCCATAAACAATGTCAATGTGACGTAAGAACATATTTAACTTGATCTTGATCTTGATCGTGACATGACAACGAAATCTCCGGTTAACTGAACCCTAAAGTAACGTAACGTAACGCAACGTATCGTAACCAAGTAACGTCACGCCCCAATTTACCCAACCCCGCCCACACGTGCCAATAACGTTTTTGAGGCCGTTCTTTTGTGGCAAAGCTACAAAAAAAGAAAAACAAAAAAAAAAACAAAAAAGCAATTCAAAAGTAACAAAAAAACAAAACGAGAAGGGAACTAAGAAAAGGCATATTATTATTACATTATTATTTAATAACTATAACTATAAAAACAACAACAACATTAACTGCTATTGATTGTGTACAATGTGACCAGAGTGAACGCTTTCCACCTATCTTTTATTTATTATTGTCGTATGTTCTCTTGTGTTATATATTTCGTAAATTTTCTGTTAGTTTACAACTCAAGCAAGCAAAAAAAAAAAAAAAAAATCGTACTAACTGTATGTTTATATATACATTCTATTTAGAACACACTCAAGTCTCTTAGTGACGTTATTTTTAATTATGTACGTTTGTATTAGACACTGAATCGGCATAAATCAGACACCAAAAAATAAATGTAACAAATTGAATAGAATGAAAAAAAAAAAAAATATATATATATATATATATATACATATATATAGAATAAAAGAACACAAAATCACGTATAATGCATATTTGATGAAAATTTGAAGATGCTGCCAAAGAATTTTATTTTATTTGATTATTTTTTTTAA